GAAAAAATTGTTTTGAAAAATGATTTTGACACCATCTCTAATGAGAAAACTGCTTTAAAAAACAACGTTGATGATTTAACAAAAACACTTGAAAATTTTGTAAAAGATAAAAATAATCGCAACATGCTTCTTGAAAATCAAAAATGTGTTTTCGATAAAGCGGGCATTGGATATGACCCTATTAAGAAACAAAAGAATCTCAATATAATTTTTGAAAAAGCACCTCTCATGACATACCCTCATATTACTTGCCATTATTGTAGAAAGAAAGGCCATTATATATCTTATTATCCATTCAAAAAGAATATGAATATGGGAATTAAAAAGGTTTGGATTATTAAGGGATCTAACAAAACTAACCAAGAAGGACCCAAGAAACTATGGGTACCAAAAACCAACACTTGATTGTCATCTTGTATGTTCGCTTTAAGTCCAAAGCTAAAGAAGACAAGTGGTACTGTAGCTCAGCTTTTCGCGCCCTCTTTCAGCAAGATGAAATAGCCCTTACAGTTTGGACTCCACTTGTGTTTGTTCTAAATCTGATTTCACAAGTGCAATGTGAAACAGTGGAAACACAAAGAATCCAAATCCAGCAATTGTTTTTGGAAAATTTGTTTGAATCAAATGCCAAAATGTCATGACCCAAACCCGCCCCTATGGGTTTAGCACTGTAACCGGCCAGTAATCCGTGATTACCAAAGGCCTGCTTAACAGTGATGACAGTAATACAAAGTAAGAGGCTGGCGAAAGCCAAAACAGTAAATAAAAGATGTCCAATGAGCTGCGACAGTCTGTATGCAAAAAGACTTTTCTGAACATATTCACATTCAAAACCAAAACAGTATATACATATATCATATACAGACATTTAGGTTAGGGACCAAATCCCTACCATAACAGTACAGTGCAAGTCTTATACAGTCAATACAAAACAGATACAAAAATGGGGTAGATCCAAAACACCCCAACACAGCCTTGGCTTGGCAGCACTTGGAATCTCGAGGTGAGGCACGATGGTTGGCTTGACAAAAAGGGAGCTAACCCGACGCTTCTAGCTCCGGTCTGGTGCCTGGAAACCTACATATATATATATATATAAACAGTGAGGTAAAATCCAGTGAATAACAAATGCGTAAAGAGGTTAAGAATGAATGTCCTTTCAGTAATAAATCAATCATATTAGTTATATGTGGTACATCCAATAACAAACAGTACAGTAGGTCTTAACAGATCGGACAATCAGTTGATGGCTATCATAACAGTAAACAGTAGTGGTTCCAAACATGGGAACCGACAGAGATCTTTGTGACAGTAGTAGTAACAATACAGTAACAATAAATTTCTATGGATGCCACGAATACAGTTTACAAATAGGACAAACATTCATTTATTAAACAATAACATTGCAGTAAGCAAAACAGTTGATCCTTCAGAAAATATTCATAATTAAACATATCTTTACAACATTGTTACTCACAGAGCACTGGGCTATAAGCAACTAATGAGCGTCCTCGGATACCAACCCTACACAGTTACAGAACGAACACACACACTAAGTTACATACTTGGGAATCAAGAACTTAGTCCCTATCTTGACTCGGTGTGGTTCTACATCAATATCCTCATTAAGATGCCTTAAACATGGCCTAGGAATGCCTAGGATGGAATGAGAATGCAAAGATACACTTTAAAACATTTTTCAAAATTTTCAAAAAACAGGGGTCTCACTCTGGCGTGGCTTTCTACGCCCGAGCGAGCATGCCAAAATAGTGGGGTCGCTCGAGCGTGGACTTCCTCGCTCGAACGGTCTGTAAAAATGCAAAAAGTGCTGGATGTTGAAAATCTCCGCTCGACGCTCGCTCGAGGGTGAGACACATCCTTCGCTCGAGTGTAGGTCTCATCGCTCGAGCGTGCATCTTCCTGCACCAAAACTCATAGAGCTTGCAATTTACGCTTGAGCCAACATTCCGTCACTTGAGCGGAGCTCTGAACAAGGGATGTTGCTCGAGCGTAGAAGGCAAAATCTGGGTTTTCCAGATTCGCCTCCAAAGCTCAAACCAAGAATTCAACACCTCAAAACTCAACCTCTTGGGCCAATTTTCTGGAAAACACTTGAAGACCAACAATATAACATGTCTTTAAAGATCGATTTGTAAAATCAAGCCCAAAGGTAAGCCAATTGAACACAATTTCAACCCAAATTTCAAGAACAAAACAAAAACACAACATGCATTATCTCCTTTAAATGCCAACACCTCAAATCATGATTAAATTGGCAATTTGATGGAAAAACATGATGAATTCATGGACTACAATCAAAACATGAACTTGCATGTAAGATTTCATGAAAAACAACTTCGAAATGTCATAATATGAGCATGCATGCATGGAATCACTATTAATTCAACACTTTAATTTAATTCATGACCTTAAGCTCCTATTCCTCCATGAATCATGCAAGAAATGACTTGAATTCATAAACAAAAAGGTAAATATCCTACCTTAGGTCTTCAATTTTAGGTATAGAAGCTCAATTATGCAATCAACCTTCACATCTCCTAAGTCTCCAAGCCAATTCTCAATTGAAGCTAAGTTTTCTCCTCTCTCACTCTTTCTCTCGGTTTTGTCTCTAGAGATGAACAAGAATGATGCATCAAAAGGCTCCAAAACAATGTTGTAGGTAATGGCCCACTAATGGCAAAAGGGTAATTAAAGCAACTAATGTGATTCAACATTATTTAATCTAATTTAATCATTCCAAATCAACTTCAAATTAAATCTACCATAAAATCACATAATTTCTAATTAACATAAAACACCAATCGATTTCTGATTCAATCGCCGATAGGACCTTCAATTCGCAATTCAAAGATAAAACATGAACAGATCATTTAATGACTAACAGATAGAAATGCATTTAAAACAGTATAATCTTGCAATCAATTCAGAATCTCAGTCAAATCAATTACTTATCATTCTCAGGCACAGTTTAGCATTAATCAAAGGTGAGGGTTGTCACACAAAAATAGATTGTTTTGCCAGATTTCATAATCGCCACCTAAATATTTATTTTGGGAAATTTAGGAAACCCGTGACTCGTGCCAAAGGCCATTAGTCCGTCGTTACCAAAGTATCTTGGTTCAGGAACTTAGGTATGAGAGAGAAAGGTCAATAATGAGCACCCCACTCACCCAATCAAAGATTGACCTCTACTACTTATGATGTGATTTTTATGCACAATATATGTTCTTATTCTGATTATTTAATAAATCCTAAAATTTATTATGTGAAGCATGCATAGTATAGACTAGTTTACTCAAATTGGAACAATTCAATTTCATATTTGTTTCTCGAAAAAGGTTTGAATTTGCCACCTCAGGTGGGCTTATTTTGCCACTTAACAAAGTGGGCTTAAAGTTTGTAAATTTGCTACTACAAAGTGGGCTTAAAACGTACATACGTTGAATCATTCCAATTCAAGCAACAAGCCTTCATCCACAGGCATTCAAACAGCTTATCAGTTAAGCAATTAGCCTCATGGTAGGATACTAAGCATAATCAGAAAATTATGTACAGGTGGGATGCTAAAGCATAACAACTCACATATTTACCGACGTCCCGCGAACAAGCTACAAAACAAAGTTAGAAAATATGCATGATTCTTAACTATACAACACATGTGATATGCAATTATTAGGCTCGGCTACTAATACGACATGCGAAATGATTTGATCGCATGCGGTTTAAGCATGTATTCAAAGAAGTATTGATACGACAATGTAAATGAGAATGATAAACCGAACCCCGGTGCATGCAATACAAATTGATGCAAACATGAAACATGCTAAATTAAATATGATGTCTCTAATCTAACCATCATAAGCTGGTAAATAAAAGGGAGAAAGACGTGAGGTTGGAAGACATATACATTATTACAAGTTTGTTTGCCCTCGCGCATGAGGGTCCGAATGAACTAATGCGCCTTCACACAGGAGGGTCTGAATGAACTAGCTAGCTAACTAAATTACTTAACTAATTATTATAAAACTTGAATAAATAAGCTAGTTATCTAAGCTAATTAATTATTACAACAAGTAAATAATTAATTATGCTAAGCTAGTGAATTAAGTAATTATGATAATGAACTAATTTAAATAACTAGTTTAAGCTAATTAAATACGTACAATGCAACGCTAATTAGCTAACTTCATTAATTAATTAATTACAGAGTAACTAATTTAAACTAGGTAACTAATCAATTACAATATGAATTAACTAATTAAATAGCTAATCAAATTAAATAACTTATCTAATGGAATAACTAATTAAATAATTACTCTAATTAAATCGTCTAATTAAATAATTATGACTAACTAATTAATAATTAAATTAATTAATTATTCTAGCTAATTATTACAAATTGGAACTAACTAATTAATTACACTAATTAATTAATTATAAAATCCTAATTAAACTAACTAATTAATTATAAAATTCTAATGAACTAACTAATTAACTACACTAATTAATTAATTATAAAATTCTAATGAATTAACTAATTAATTACAACTTTAATTAATTATAAATTTCTATTTAAACTAACTAATTAATTATACTAAGTAATTTAATTATAACATTCTAATGAACTAAAATTTTAATTAACTAAACTAATTAATTACAACTTGAAGTAATTAATCATATCCATGAGCTCCTTGGAAGCTCTCTGTTCTTACACTTCTTCTCCAATTTCATCATCTTTCACAGCAGAAGCAACTTGAGGAGTAGTAATTTGTACAAATTATGGCATGCATCTGGTAAGTTGGAAGAGCTTCTTCAGTGATCATGTGTCCGACCACAAAATAATCGTCTGGCAGCTCTATTGCTCTCTCTCTCTCTCTCAGTTCCACGAGAATGGAGAAGATATAGAACACCTGCATCAGTCCCTGATCGCAGCTTAAGAAAGCCATCTGCTAGCACTGTCTGTACATAACTACCCCATGCTGGATTATTAACAAGAGCTCCAAGTATGCCTCCAAAGTCAAATGAAGAAGGGTATGCTGTGCTCTCAGTACGTGGATAGTTATAGGCGCACCCGAGAGAGAGAGAGAGAGAGAGAGAGAGAGAGAGAGGTTGATGCCAGGTCTGTGTATCAGTGTGTGAATGGTGACGGCAGCGGTGGTGTGGGGTGAGACGGCATCGGTGGTGTGTGTTGCCTCATGCATGTGTCAATGGTGTGGGTGTGTGTAGTGTGAGTCTGTTTGTGCCGTGTGTGAGTGTATCTGGGTTGTGTGTTGAGTGTGTGCCCATGTGCATAGGTCTGCCGAGAGGGAGAGAGTAAATGCATGTCATGTGTGCCGTGTGTTTCTCTCTGAAAAACCAAACATGCTGCCTTGCTTGTTATCATGCACCACCGAGAAGAGAGAGCCCAGGTGCAGAGAGAGAGAGGATCATGAATGATGCATTGTGTGTATTTGTTTTTCTCCCCTCTCTCATATGCGTTGTGTGTGTGTGTGCAGCTCCGAAATCGTGTTGTATGGAGAACCAGCCCGAGAGAGAGAAGAGAGAGCTCCCTACATGTGTGTGTGTGTGTGTGTTTGTATATGTGTGTGGATGGTGTGTGCAGCTCCTTTTTTTTTTTTTTTTGTCGCGGATGATGATCCATTATGCTCAAAAACCAGAGAGAGAGAGATATTATACAAAACCTCCACTCACTCCGCATCATAACCCGAACCCCATGCTGACCATCTCGCAATATAATATCTCCATTTCCATACAATGACTATTATAATATAATATCCCCATTGAACATAATCATCACATATTCTACCACCATCTATCTTCTTTCCATTCTCTGTCGCTAAAAACATATTTGCACCGCCCACTCCAAAACAAAATTATCCTACTGACCCTCTTCCTCTCCCTAAAATAATTCATGTTTTTTTTTCCACCCAAAAACTCATCATCATGCTGATTATTCTATCTGAGAAAAGTTAGGGATCATGAATTTTTTTTCATGAAAATGATCATAAAATATTTATGATCCTTGAATTACCTTGATTAGTGTGTGGTGCTTTATTCTAAATGTAATCTAAGGGTCACAAAACTTTCATGATTATTTTCATGAAGGATTTTTCATAATACCTAGTATTATTAATTCTATGTTTTATATTCTTTATCTTCCATCCAAACACAAAAAATCATCATTCTGACCATACTCACCCAAAAAACCACCGACCTCTCTTTTTTGTATTATTTTCTATTTCTAAATATATTATTTACACCAACTTACATAAGCACACCTAAAAATATGTACAAACACATAAAATCCAATAACATGTTATAAAATACTATAAATTAATAAAATAATATAAAAGATGTGAGTGATATAAAATAATTTGGCCAAAATAGGTGAGGTTTGTGATTAAAGTTTCGATTTGATTTTTCTGCTGAGAAATTCATAAAATAGCACATTCTAATTTTCATCATTGGGTGGTCAAAAGAAAGTGCCCAAATCTTAGGGGCGGTCAAAAATGGGGTGTCTACAGGTACCTTGATAGTGGATATTCCAGACACATGACTGGAGATAAATCCTTCTTTACTACACTGTCATCTAAAGATGAAGGCCTTGTCATTTTTGGAGAGATCAAGAAAGGAAAAATCATTGGTATTGGTAGTATTGGTATTTTTCCTAATCCTTCTATTGAAAATGTTTTACTTAATTTGGGACTGTTTTATCTTAGAGGTATTGCATTTGATTTAATTAGTTACTTAGATGCCGACTTTACCGGATGCAAACTTGATAGAAAAAGCACCAGTGGCACTTGTCACTTTCTTGGTAGAACATTAGTATCTTGGTTTAGCAAAAAATAAAATTCTGTTGCTTTATCAACGGCCGAAGCTGAATATATAGATTCTGGAAGTTGCTGTGCTCAAATACTTTAGATGAAACAACAATTGAAGGATTTTGATTTGCATTATGATCATATCCCTATTAAATTTGATAATACTAATGCCATCAATTTAAGCAAAAATCTGGTTCAACACTCACGAACAATACATATTGAAATTTGACATCATTTTTTAAGAGGTCATGTTCAAAAAGGGGATATTGTACTTGAATTTGTAAACACCGACAAATAATTGGCGGATATTTTCACAAAACCCCTAAACGAGGATCACTTCAATTTTATTCGTGGCGAGCTTGGAATGTCAATTTCTACTTAGAAAGTTTTGTTATGACTGCAAAACTTGAATTTTTGTTAAAATGATATATGTGTATTGCTACATTGATATGGAACCACTTATATCAGTTGAATGCTCTCAAGTCCTTCATACATTTATTCTCCTTAACAGTTTGCTATTTTCAACTGTGTAATTTTTTTGGGTTCTGCATCTTGAGGTAAAATTAACTTTGCATACATTGATTTTTTTAAACCCTCATGGTATTTTTTTTTTTTACATTACCATTCCAACAACACTAACGTCCTAATAAGTTTAATTTCTGCTGGTATTATTTTATTTTAATTTATTTTATTTTTTTATTTTGCTATTAAACTTAATTTCTTTTATTATTATTTTCTCTCATTATTATTATTATTTTGGGCGTAATTTTTTTTTTTTTGCTTTTTAATTTCATTTTTCAGTACTTAAACGGAAAAACAAAAACAAATCAAAATACAAATATTTACATAAAAAAAAAACACCCTTCATTTTTTTACGGCCACATGCCGATCCAAATAAACAGTAAAAAAAAAAACAACAACAACAACAACAACACCCTTCATTTTTTTTACGGCCACACACCGATCAAAATAAACATTAAAAAAAAAAAAAAACACCCTTCATTTTTTTTCAGCCATATGCCGATCTTACTTACTCGCCTCTTCCATCGTTTTTTTCTTCTTTTTATCACTTTAGGCGACCCTTGTTGCCCTGCCCCTGTGCTTTCGTCGAGAGCGATGACTCTCTGCTGACTATCAAAGGCCAAAAACGACGTTGCTCCAAATCGGGCCATGGAGGTGGTCTTCCATTTAAGCTCTTTATTTTCGGCGTTCAATGCGCCTATTTTTGCTCGCGCATCCTTGTACATGCGCTGGAGCAAAGAGACTTGGACGTTGACTTGGTGGAGCTCACTCGTTTTGTTCTGTAGTCGATGCGCCAATTTTGTGACTGCAGTCACCGTCTCCATACAGGACGTCAGTGTGAAATGATTGGCTTCAATATCTGATTGCGCTGTCATTATTTGCTCAATCGACATCATATGAAGTTTAGGAAGAGTAGGCGTCGAAGCACTTGGCCCAGCAGAGCTTATGGGATCATTCAGGTCCGGAAATAGAGTGAGGAGACGGGATGAGGAAACCATGGTTTAGAGGTAAGAGGTGTAAAAGAAATGAGTTGCAGAGAAATAGAAGAGAACAGAGTGAGGTTTGGCCTCCTCCGTTCAGTTTTTTTTTCTATCTCTCTCACGAAGAAGAAGAAAGGCCTGCAAGTGAATGAGGAAGAATAAGGAGACTGAGTGATTAAGAAGAAGACGGATGAGAAGAAGACAAAAGGGAGCGAGAGCCGAGGTAGCTGATTGACCCGTCTTGCTTTTGTTGGTTGGCTGACGCAAAAGCGAGGCCACGTGTCCGACGCAATTTTCGACGGAAAAAAGAGACACGGACGAATCTTATATATATATATATGTGTGTGTGTGTGTGTGTGTGTGTATGTTTTGATTATCTATTTTTTGATGTCATTTATCACTATCATTTTCCTCCTCCTCCAGATTCTGACCCATGATTTCTTTTTGATAATGTCACAGGGGGAGAAAATTATATGATGTTATGTATTATGGTATTATTTTGTTATGATGTTATGTATTTATAGTTTGATATCTTAGTCTCATATCATGTCTCTAATTAAAGCTTATTTATTACATATGTGTTAACCTATGTATTTAGAAATGAATTCAGGGAGCATGACTTGAGGGGAGCTTTTCTTACTCCCAAATCAAATCAAAATATCATTGTGTGCCATCATCAAAAAGTGGGAGACTGTTAGACTTATTTATTTTGATGATTTATATGAAAGAGAAAATAGAATCAACATTTATTTTGATGATTTTATGTTTTGATTTATTTGAAAGAGAAAAATAGAATCAAAATTTATTTTGATGATTTATTTGAAAGAGAAAAATAGAATCAAAATTTATTTTATCTAATTATTTCTCACCTAAACCTTTATCCTAAATGTTGTTAGAATGTATTTAATATTTGATTAAATCAGGAGTTCAAACAGCCTAAAACAAAAGGTTCAAATAGCCTAGCACAGCAGCAGGCCAAAAGGTTCAAAAAGTTCAAGTGAAAGATATTCAAATTAGTAATGATGGAAGTACAACGGCTATAAACGGCTACAAAGATTCAAAAGGCCAAAAGGTTCAAAAGGTTTAAGTGGAAGATATTTAAATTAGAAATGATGAAAGTACAATGGCTATAAACGGCTATAAAAGTTCAAAAGGCCAAAAAGTTCAAAAGGTTCAAGTGAAAGATATTCAAATTAGTAATGATAGAAGTGCAACGGCTATAGACGACTATAAATTCAAATGAATGCAACGGCTATAATTTTCATTATATATACCAAAGCCTCTAATGTAAACAAGTTACAAAAAAAATCTAAAAATATTCTTTGATCTATAATCACTCACATTTATTCTCAGAAATTATACACTGAGCCTTATAGCATTAAGCTCATCTTTCTTGTGTGAGATTTACAGATAAATCAAAGTTTCATTTTATATATCTATCTTTGAGAGATATTTATTGTAAGCTTTCTTTGAAAGCAAAAATACCATTTCATCTTGTCAAAGTGTTGCAAACACTATGTTCTTGAAATCTTGAGAGTGATTGTGAATCACCTAAGATTTATAAGGGTTTGGGCTTGTGAAGTCTGTGTAAAATCTGTGGAGGATTGCTCTATTTATGAAGAGGTTGCTAACAACCTTGTGAAGCTAGAAGATAGTGAAAAATCTCAAGTGAAACTTAAGGAGTGGACGTAGGCCGAGTTGAAGCCGAACCACTATAAATTTGTTTGCCTCTCTCTTCCTTATCTCTTTATTTTATTTTAAATTGCCATAACTATGTTTCACATT